AGTGATTCAAATGTAAATTTTATTTAAACAACTAATATACTTTTTCTTTATTTACATGAATATTATTTGTTAATGTTTATGTTGGGATATACATACATATGTTTAATTGTTAGTTTAACAAAGGTTTTGAATTGATCATTTGTGTCGATTTTAAATTAAAGTGTTAATTAAACAACCAAATAGAAGTATTTTTATTTTCTTTTGCAACAATACAAAACAAACAATGTGTTTTTTAGAATGTAAAACAATATTTCGTTTAAAAAGAGTAAAACTAATCTTTAGTTAATTTTCTTGATAAAAACGATTATTCATAATAAGATAATAATAAGTTATATAAACTAATTTTCCAAAGTCAATAGTGGGAATTTTTCATTATTGTGTATTGAATCAGGATTTAGTATGCTAAAAAACACCCGTTTTTTGGCGTTTTCTGGTTTTCAAGTAAAAAGTTGCAAAGAAGTATTCGAGGTTATTAAAAAATATATATTTTCGAATTAAAGTTGCACAAAAAAAACAAAGTAAAAAAATCTGGGTTTTTTCAAGTTTTACAAAAATCAAAAGTGCATTTAAAAAACGAGTTAATTTTATTGATGTTATGGGAAACAAAAAAATGACATATCGTGGGAAATTAGGAGTAATTTTTGATACTTAAAAACCACATTTAAAAATAGACCAAACATTCAGATCAAAACCGGAAGATAACTTTAACTATTTTGTTGATTGAAATGTAAAAATAATCAGATCACCCGTTAATTAAAGGTAAATGTGTTTATTATTTTAACATCAAAAATAACATGACTATGTAAACAAAGCATTTCAAATGATAAATTTATACGATTTTTATAAGTTTTATTAATTCAATTTTAGTTTGATATCTCTTTAACCATATGCAAGTCATCAACAAGGTTGACTCCTTAATAATTGAATGGCTAAAAGATGGCAAGTCTTACAAGTCAATAGAAAACCAACTTCATGTATTTCCCAATAGAGTATCACGTATTAAAAAATGCTTGATTCCAAAGAAAAAGTAGTTTCTAAAAAATTGGCAGACCAATTTCTGTTAATATAAATAAACAAGTCGAAGTATTCAACAAAACTATCAATAATCCATCAGTGTCATGCGCTTGTCTGGCAACCGAGATTCATTCATCAACAACATCTGTGCAAAGCTTACGTAAAAAGCTGGGATTTAAATATTCAACTCTAAGAAATAGCAAGTTTCTGACTTTAAAACAGGTCAGTTTTAGGAAGTTTTTTGTAAAACTGCTTTAAAACAGAGGAATGAAAAAAAATGGTGGAAAGTTATAATCAGTGATGAGTCAAGATATGGTCTGTTTAACGACAATGGCAGTTGTTGGATTCACAAAAAGAGGGCTGTTAGATATGGAGAGACAAATTTGGTGTTCATTAATGGTGTCAGGAAACGAATAACACGCAATACTCATGGAAATAAAAAAAAAATCTTTTTGACTTTACCCAAACATAACGACTCTTTGATGGTGTGGGGTGCGATAGGTAGAGATAC